GCTCTACACCTCAGACCGCTTCCGGCTGCACAGGCAAGAGGGGAGGCTGGGGGCACCTGCCCTGTGCCGTGGAGCAGGGGTGGGGGACAGGGGACGTGGGGACACCTGCCTGGGGTGCTGCTGGGAGGCGGGAGCGTGCTCGAGCACGGCCCCGCTCTGGAGGCCAGCGGTCACGGCTCCATGGCGTGCCTTGTCCCACAGGTACGGGGCACTCACCTTCGGCAACGTCCAGAAATCCATCCCGGCTTCCTTCGGGGCCAAGGCTCCTGCCACGGTGCGCAAGATCGCCGTCCGGAGAACCGCCCAGGTGGGAGCACGCAGCGGCAGCCGTGGCATGGGCGGGGAGGAGAAGGGGGCAGGCACGGCAGGTACCCCTCGTCCACAGCCGTGCTCTCCACCGAGGAGTCTGGTGGGGCTCTCAGCCCATGGGGTGCTCAGCAGCTCCCACCCCAGTGGGTCTGGCCCAGCATGGCCAGCTATGGCTGTCCCGTCCCATCCCATCCACCACATCCCACCCTATCCCATCTCATCCTACCCCGTCCCATCCCTCCACTCCCCTCCAGTACGTCTGCCATGGACCCAGCTCTCCTGCCACCTCTCACCATGCTTCTCTGCTCCTCCAGGTCTTCTACAACAACAAGGGCTACCACAGCATGCCCACCTACCTCAACGCTCTCAACAACGCCATCCTGCGAGCCAACTTGCCCAAGAGCAAAGGCAACCCTGCTGCCTACGGTGAGGACCTGGAGGCGTTGGAGGGCAGAAGCACGTTGGGAACAGCGTTAAGGCATGGTCCAGCCAGGCTCTAAAGTGCAGCTTCCCCACCTTGGACCCAGCAGGCCAGTGCCCCGTTGGGGCAGGGGGGTCACACGCCTTGGCTACGTGGTCTGGGCTGGGCAGATCTCTCTGAGGTCTGGGCTGGGGCAGAACGTCCCAAAGCGCTGCCTGAAGACCCGTAGGCTTGCGACGTGTCCAAGGACGCACTGTGCCAGCCGGTGAGGGGGGGCTTGGCCTCGAGGTGCTTGGTTGCTTCAAGCAGCTCAGCTCCTGCTGAGCTGAGGGGAGGAAACCCGTCGTCCCGCCCAGGGCCAGGACCAGGCAGGCTGGGGACCAGATTTCTGTCCTGGGCCAGCTTTCACGCTCCTGTGTTTCTTCTTGGGCCTTCCTGCAGGCATCACGGTCACCAACCACCCAATGAACAAGACGAGTGCCAGCCTGTCCCTGGATTATCTGTAGGTCCGGGGAGTGGGTTTGAGGGAGGGTGGCCATGGCGTGGAAGGGAGGGAGCTCCTCACCGCGGTTTGCAGGGGAACGCTGAGGCTTCTGCCCTGCAGGCTGTGCGTGGGGGTCCGGGTGGTGGCGACGTGGGGGTCCCTGGGCTGTGCCCTGCCTGTGCACAGCTGCTGTCCCACGCCGGGACGGGTGGCTCTTCCCCAGGCAGCTGAGGGTGACAGGTCCCTGCTCTTCTTGCTCCCTGTGCAGCCTGCAAGGCACGGACGTGGTGATTGCCATCTTCATCATCGTGGCCATGTCCTTCGTGCCAGCCAGCTTCGTGGTGTTCCTGGTGGCTGAAAAGGCCACCAAGGCCAAACACCTTCAGTTCGTGAGCGGCTGCGACCCCGTCATCTACTGGTTGGCCAACTACGTGTGGGACATGGTGAGCAGGGCACACGGCCCCACCGGCCGAGTCCCCAGGGCCGGGCGGGTGGGTGAACAGGCACAGAAGTTTCTGTCTTCTCCAGCTGAACTACCTGGTGCCAGCCACGTGCTGCATCATCATCCTGTTCGTGTTCGACCTCCCGGCATACACCTCTCCCACCAACTTCCCCGCCGTCCTCTCCCTCTTCCTGCTCTACGGGTACGTTTCTCAGAGGGGTGGTCAGGACGCACCAGTGGGTCCCTCCAATGCCGCATCTGCACGGTGGCCGCGCGGGCAGGATCTGCCCATCTGGATGATGTTCTGCAGCTCCTGTGGCTGGTGGGGTGGGAGAACCTGGGGAGGACGGGGCTGGGAGATGGGCGATCCCAGGGCTCGCTGGTTCCCGCTGCCTGGTCCCTCTGCTGGCACGCTGACGTGTGCTCCTGCCACTTGCCTCCCCAGCTGGTCCATCACCCCCATCATGTACCCTGCTTCCTTCTGGTTCGAGGTGCCCAGCTCCGCCTACGTCTTCCTCATTGTCATCAACCTCTTCATCGGCATCACGGCCACCGTTGCCACGTTCTTGCTGCAGCTCTTTGAGCACGACAAGGTATGGGATTCATGGCTCTGCCTGGGGCCACCAGGAAGGGAGAAGCTGCTGTTGGGTTGTGGGACGGCTCAGGCTGGGAGGGACCTCAGGAGGTCTCTGTGCCAGACTCCTGCTCCCAGCAGGGTCAGCTGTGAGACCTGGCCGGGCTGTGTCTGGGTAGGGATCCTAATCCTGCCGTGCCCTCACGGTCCTCAGGGGTGTTTCTGATGGTTGTGTCCTCTCTGCCCGTGCCCACAGGATCTGAAGGTGGTGAACAGCTACCTGAAGAGCTGCTTCCTGGTGTTCCCAAACTACAACCTGGGCCACGGCTTGATGGAGATGGCCTACAACGAGTACATCAACGAATACTACGCCAAGATCGGTGTGGCCTCTCGTTCCCTCGCTCCCTTCTCCAGGGCGTGTGGGGATGGGGGGGGACCATGGTGCTGGCACGTCCCCTCTGCCTGCGCTGAGGCTTCCTGAGGCCCAGAGCAGCCTGGAGTAAAAAGCCAAGGGACATGAACTAGACTGGGCTGCAGGAAGAGACACGGTTGAGGGTCAGCTGTGGCGTGGTGCTGGTGATGCTGAGAACGGTTCCTTGGGTCATCCCAAAGAGCAGCCCCGCGGGGAGGGGAGGTGGTGAGCCCTGGCAGAGTTGTGAGTGGCTGCTGCTGCTGCACACTGCCTGTGCTGGGCTGTGGTAGAACTGTGGTGGGGCTGTGGAGGGGCTGTGGTGGAACCATGGTGGGGCCGTGGAGAGGCTGTGGTG